TGAGTACACAGGAGGAATCTTGAGCAGGGCGGGAGTGATAACTAGCGCCCCTGCCAGTGGTTATCACTGGGCTAGAAGAGTGGGGAGGAGAAGACGGCCGCCCTTTATCAGCCATTGCAGGCAGCGCGTCCTTGCCTGGTCCCTGGCTTCACTGCTGGCCTGGCCATGGGACCCTGGGCAAGTCTCAAAGTGCCCTACTTGGAGTTTGGTTTTGCCAGCTGTAAAATGGGACTGCTCTGCATCTTGCAGGACAGTTCAGAGGTTACATGAGATCCTAGCTGGGAAGCTTAGCAGTCTGGCATATGGTAGATATGCATCCAGTTTCTCTGTAAGTTCAGGGATGGCAAGCTACTTGGATCTCAGATCTGACTTCTGAGTGTCTTAGGGGCTGAGCGCAGTGGTCCTTTCTATACCCAATTGGCCCTCACCTCAGACTTCCTGCGGAGAGCCCAGGAGTCTGGGAGATTGCCAAGGCCGTGGGGTAGGATCCCAAAGAGCCTGGTTGGCTGGGGCCCTTGGGCAGTACCAGCGGAGGGAGCAGAGGAGAGCCTGGGGGCAGTGGCAACATGTCTGTGCCCTGCAGGTATCCCTCCTGCACCCACGGTCCTCAGGAGGGGGTCAGCCATGTCCACGTTATCTCAGTAGGGTCCACTGACACTCTCCTCGCATGTTCCTTAGGGGCATGTGGGCCAGGGGGCTGGCAGTCCTAGGACTGAGCCCAGGTCTGGATACGCCTTGGGCTCTCCCCACCCCTGCCTAGTTGGACCACTAGGAGCCAGAGAAACAAAAGCTGAGGGTCTGAACCTTCCCCAACTGGGGGGGTGGGTGGGTGGGGGTTGCCTTAAAGGCCTTTCCAGGACTCAGGGTCAGACACCTGTGTATCTATTATCTCCCAAGCTACTTCCTATTGGTGTCAGCGAAGGAAGGAAGAGTGTGTGTGTGTGTGTGTGTGTCTGGGTAGACAAGTAGCGCTGGGTGTGGGTGAAAGTGGGAAGGGTGAAATTCGACCAGCCCCAGCGTGGTGACCCATCACACCACTAAGACCCAGAGTCTGGACACCAGAGTGAGCCTACCTTCAGCCTTCGCCAAGGCCGGGGGTGTTGAGCATGTCTGGAAAAGAGCTAAAAGTGGCAGGAAACATCCTGTTTGAAAGCCGTGCCTTGCTGTATTTAACCCCTGCAGCACCTGCTCCACCTACACCCGCTCTCCACAGACCGTACATCCCAGACACCTGTCTTTGAAGCCATCCCAAGAGGCCAGGCCTGACTGCACTGTCCCCAGTGCCCGGGCGCCGGTCTCCTTCCCACCCTCCAGAGCCTGCCAGGCCACCCTCTGGCCCTGCTCCTCCAAGCATCCCTAAAATCTGGGGTGGGGGCAGCAGGAGCATTCGAGCTCCCAACACCCTCTGCAGCAAGGAGGCTGCTTCATGTGCCCTCCCGCTGGACACTGCTCACGCCCTCTCTCAAGAGAGGGTGGTTCCCGGCTGCCAGCTGGGCTCCTGCCCCTTCAGCCCTGCCAGTGATGACATGGCACGCCTGCCCCCAACAGATCACTTCTGTCCAGTTTTCAGTCCCCATTCTGAGGACCAAAGTCCCTGGAAAGAGGCTCACTTCCTCTCTGATGGGCTCTCTAGAGCTCCAGTGGTGAGATCAATGCAGGGCTGTACATAAAGCATTTATTTCCCTTTTTCATTTCAGAGTCCTTTTGGCTGGAAGCATCTACGAACCCTCACAGAAGGGCACCTCTGGGCCTGACTTCCCTGTCCCCCTGCTTCTACAGGTGGGTGTTTCCCCCTCAGCCACAACCTCCGGGCTTTTTGTTTTCGAGGGGTGAGGCAGGCAGGGATATTGGATGGGGGCAAATAGGAAGGCGGTGGTCAGAGGCAGGAAGAGATACTCCCTGCCTTTGGCAGATGTGGGTGGGTGCATCTCGTGTCAGCAGAGTCCACAGCAGCCCAAAGCTGAGACCCAGAGCTGGGCCCAGGTTGGGGTGGGGAGGGGCTTGCAGACACCCAGGCCAGGACCCTAGGGGGTCATCAGCATGGCAGTATTTCCAGGCCAACTCCCATCTCCTTTGTCTCTCCTGCCCTCTACAGTCTCTGCCCTTCATTCCTAGCACTCCCAGCTCTCAGGCCATAGATGCCCGGACCTCTTCTCCGCTTCTGGACTCTGGTTCTCGGTCCTGGCTTCTTGGTAGCAGCATGTAACCCTAGGCAGGGCTGAGTTGTCTCTTAGTTCACCTGAAACTGTCCTGCTCACTGTGGGCCTCTGGCTGCTGGGTCCAGCCTTGAGCTGGGCCTAACCCAGTGCCTGGGGCCCCACTCCAGGGGCCAGCAACCTTCCTGACATCACCCTGCTACAGGAAGGCACAGTTGCAGTGCTGTGTTGTTGCATTCTACCAACTCTCTTGCGTCATCACATCCTCCGTGAGCCCAGATGATGCTGAATACTTGTTAGACTGATTTGACCGATTTCCCTCCACCCCCGCATTTAATTTCTCTTTTTTCCACCAACTCCACCAGATGCTTGGCCACTGAATGACACAGAGTCTGTAGCAACATCACCATGACGGGGAGTTGCAACATCTCAGCTGACCTAGGGTTAAGCCACAGGCATCCTAGACAGTTTCTCCTCCTGGGGCCTCTGGGGTCCCTGCCCACTCTGTGGATGTGTGTGTCATGCTCCAGAAGCCTGGAGTCAGCATGGACTTCCTAAAGGTTGTGGGCACAAGGCTGATAAACTAAGGGCACCCTCTCTTTTATTTTTGTTTTAACAATTAGGCAATGTTTTATATATACAGATGAGCATATAAAACAGATAATAGTATTTTAGTAGTAGGCTTTCCAAGTGGCTCAGTGGTAAAGAATCCACCTGCCAATGTGGGAAGCATGGGTTCAATTCCTGGGTCTGGAAAATCCCCTGGAGAAGGAAATGGCAACGCACTCCAGTTTTCTTGCCTGGTAAATCCCACCAACAGGGAGCCTGGTGGGCTACAGTCTGTGGAGTTGCAAAGAGTCAGGCAAGACTTAGTGACTAAACACACACACACACACACACACACACACACACACCATAATACCTACCACTCAAAGAAATTGAATATGGCTAGTATGTCATGCCTCTGCAAGTCCTCCCCAACCTCACTCCATCAGAAGTTTCTGTTTATCATTCCTTTGTTCTTTTTTTTTAAGTGTTTCTCTCTCTGTCTCTGTGCATGTGTATGTATATAAAAACATTATAGCTTAACAAGTATCAACTTTGCTACCATTGGGCTGGGCAACAGGGTCACTGTTATTAACGTTCCCAGGAAAAGAAAAGCTGAAAGAGAAAGCTGGAGGATCTACTAGGTCTGTCTGTGATCAGGGCCCCTCTACCCCTTCAGGACTGGCAGTACCTGTCCTTATCTGTCCCATCTCTTTCCTTTAGCTTAAAACTCTTTGTGGATTATTTTTTTGCAATATTAAGTCTTTGTTTAGTGCCTTTGGTAATTGTAGTTGCTAGAGAACCTCAATGTTTGGGCTTCTCTGGGCCTCGTCTGTAAGAAGTAATAATAGTAGTACTTGCCTTGGGACTTCCCTGGAGGTCCAGTGGTTGGAACTCCATGCTTCTCCTGCAGGGGGCACAGGTTCAGTCCTTGGTCAGGGAACTGGGATGCTGCAAGCCTAACAACAATAATAATGATAACAGTACTTGCCTCATTAGAGTGAGTTGAAGATGGACTGAAATAAGACCCTACTGGTCTTTGACATACCTTGACTCAGGTCAAGGGCCTTGTCATTGCAAAGAAGCTCGGAGCCCCCAAGGGCCCCCGGAAGCTACCTCTCTCACTTCAGTGGGGGGACGTGGCACTGTGGCGTGGGAGGGGATAGGGCGCTTGGCCGCTCACCACTGACTTTCTCACTTGTTTTCCTTCTCTCCTGAGGGAACCTCCTGCCCCGAGACCGCGGCACTTAAACCTGTGGTGACCCTTGTGAGGACTCAGATAAAACTGGGAGGCAGCCCAGTCTGAAACCAGCTCACCAGGCAGGAGGGACCCCAGCCATAGCCCTGAGCTAGCAGCCGGCAGGATTGCAGGCAGCAGGTGAAGTCGAGGTCCCGGCCTGCCTGAGGGAAGGCTTGTCAGCTGCTTCCTGAGAAGGCGCTCCCAGAGCTATTATATTTTGTCCCCTCTGTCTCTTTTCCCTCCTTCTTCAAGTGTGAAATCCATCTGTAGGTGATAATGCCTATTTATAAAAGCAGCCTCTGAAAACAAAACCAGTTCCTGGTATATGACTCGCATTACTCAGAAGGACGTTCAGAACAGTGTGTTGAATTTACATTGAAGGGAGAGAGGGGAGGGAGAAGGCTTCGATGACCTTGGTACCAGGACAGCAAGGATGCCAGGCTGTCCGCCCTGAGCCGTGGGGCTGCTTGGAGCTGACATGACAGGGTCTGCTGTGGGCAGGTAATCTGCCCTCTTCCCCTCGCCCTCAAGGATAGAGGGGCGGAGGGTGTCCCTCTGTGTACAAGGCTGTTGGAGGCCCCCCTTCCCTTTTGGAGGGGACGCTGGGCAAAGAGCCCTCTGACCTGCAGCAGGTCCACTGCTGAGGTGCAGCTGAAGCCAGTGGTGTGCGTATCATTCACAAGAACCTTCCTCACACCCAGTGAAGTAAAACACATTCTTCAGATGAGGACAGTGGGACATAGAGAGGCGGGACCCCTCACCCAAAGAAGCCCTGCCCATAGGCACCAGACACGGCCTCTGGTCCTCCGCGCCTTGACGCCAGGCCACGCCATGAGCATCGCCACAGCGCCCCCTGCAGACGTGCTCCAGCCTGTCTGGAGAGACCCGCTTCTGCTTGTGGCCGGCAGCCTTAGGAGGGTGAGCGGGTGGTACCCAGAGCCAGGAAGGGAGGGCGCCCAGGGTCCCACTGAGGCCTGTGCCCTGGGGAGCGGCTTGGCTTTGCTGAGCTCCCGGCAGAAGGGCTGCCAGCAGCCTCATCCCCTGCTGTTCTTGCAGCCATGGAGGCGACTGCGGCCAGCACGTCCTTACCTGACCCCGGGGACTTTGACCGGAACGTGCCCCGGATCTGCGGGGTGTGCGGGGACCGCGCCACCGGCTTCCATTTCAACGCTATGACCTGCGAAGGCTGCAAGGGCTTCTTCAGGTGAGTCCCCTGCAAGGGCGAGGAGTAGGGGGTGAGGAACAGGGTTTCCCGCGAAGAGACCCTGAGTGTTCTGTGTCTCCTTCCTAGCCAGGCCCAGGAACACTCCTGGTTCTCACAGCCCCCCGGGGCAACAGGGTCTGTTTCTTCCTCCTCTGCCCTCAGCTCCAGCTTGTCCTCTGGCCCAACTGCTTCCAGGGTGGCATGTGAGCCCCCATCCTTCCATCACCCCTTGGCACACAGCCCCCTGCACCCACCCATGTCCTTCCAGAGTGAACCACCTACCACTGCTGATCAGAGTTCCCTAGTCCAAGAGATGGGCATGGCCCCTAGAAGCCCCAAGAACTTGGCCTCAGAGCACCCACCCCTGCCCTCTTCTTTCCGACCACCACCCAAATCAAACCGCTCCCTGGAGCAAGGGAAACGACATCCCTGGTTGGACCTCCGTATTTGATCTGTGCACCACGACTTGCTTATCAAAGTTGGAAAGCCAACCTCAGAGTGTGCAGGAAAGCACGGGCATTCCGGTTTGGTCAGGGCTAGCTTCTCTGCCAGCAGCCTCTTCTCTTTTCACACAGGCCCAGCATTACCAGTGCAAATTGTATGGGAAAGTCCTGGAAAAGCTGGACAAAGGCTATTCCCATCCAGAGCCAGGGAGGGAGAAGAGAGAAGTGAGGACTCGCAGGGTGGGATTCAAAACCAGGAGAAATTAGCATTTTGCATATTTTGGAGAGAGAAAGAGAATGCCACCTGGAAGAAGGCGGCCAAAAATGAACTTCTATATAATAGTCTTGCTGGGGATGAGTAAAGCTAATGGCAGGGCTTTCCATCAAAGAGAGGAAAGAGTGAATCAAGCCCAGAAGAAGGAACCCATTTCTCTGAACTGGCACTAAGGGCAGCGTGAATCAGAGGCCTCAGGACTTGTGTCGTGGTCCCCCCACCGCTCAGCAACCCCTGGGCTCTATAAATACAGGCTCCTGCCCTCTGAGGCAGAAACTGGCAGGCCTGGAGTTTGATTGCCATGAGCCACCATTCTGAGGCCCCTTAGAGTCTGAGCTGACTGACGGCCACTACTCCTTCCTGCAAGGTCTGGCGTTATGGTCAGCAAGCTGCTTTTATCTTGCTTCCCTGTCCTCCGTCTTACCTTATAACTTTATTGCCTCTGCCTTGATGACAGCCCAGGCTGCACTTTCTGAAGAGCCAACATCTCTGTTGTTGTTTGGCTTGAATTCTGTTTTATAAAGATACACAGTTGATCCTCATTGTTTGTGGAGCCCATATCTGCAAATCTGACCACCTGGTAAACTTTACTTGTCATCCCCAGATCAATATTTGCAGCACTGGTGTTTCTGGACACATGTGGAGTGGAGAAAAATTCCGTCTCGCATTGCACACGTTCCCAGCCAAGGCTGAGCCAGACATCCTGCCTTCTGTTTCAATTCTTACACTGTGAATGAGTGTCCTGTTCTTGGCCTATTTAGTACCATCCTTTTTGCATCTTTGTACCATTTGATAGTGATTTCACTGTGTAAGATGGCACCCAAGCATGGTGCTGAAATTCTATCAGGTGCTCCTAAGCATGCAAAAGCTGCAAGGTGCCTTACAGAGAAAAGACGTGTTAGACAAACTCTGTTTAGACATGGGCTATAGAGCTGTTGGCTGTGAGTTCAATGTTAATGAGTCAACAAGATGTATTAAATGAGGTGTGTTTAAACAGATGACACACAGGAAACAAAGTTATTTACTGATGGATTAATGAAAACATTGTGACCAGAGGCTCACAGGAACCTAATCCAATTCTCCTAGGAGTGATGATTCAATATTTGCTGATACACCATTCATGGTGGCTTTATGAATGTAACTACCACAAATAACAAGAATAGACTGTCTGTAGGTAATTTCTCCTCCTCTCTCCCCTCCACATACTTCTCCTCCTTTGCTTCATCCATATACTATTTGATAATCTTCCACTTTAGTCTGTTTCAAATAGCTGTTTGAGAATTCCATTGTCAGTTGTATCTGTCTGCAGATTCCTCATCCTGGGCAGGAAGGCCTCTGTCAGAAGGAGGTCCTTCTCTGTGTTGGGTACCACATCTTTGAGAACAGCTCTCCAGAAGCTTTCTCAAGGAAAAAGCATTACCTTAGGGTTGAGCCACTGACTATATTCTAACCCCTGGGGAATAAGCCCATTTGACCATTTAGTGTTTGATTGACTTCTAAATCAAACAAAATCGCTCTAGAAGTGAGTTGTGGTCATTTCAGCAAGTCTAAGACTCATAATCAAACCAAAGTGTGATTATGGGGGTTGGTCAGTTCTATTGACCTATGGTCAAGAATTAGAGACTATTGCCAGCCAGTTACTCCTGCAAGCATTTCATGTTGTTTCTACTTCCTTCTCCTCTGAAATACATGTAATCCATAGAGAAAGATGCTATTTCCAGTGAGAATAAAAGGTTGGCATGGACGGGCTTCTAAATGGTTATATGTCTTGGTAATATGTTAACCTAATATGTTAAAAGGCAAAGACATCACTTTGCCAACAAAAATCCGTATAATCAAGGCTATGGTTTTTCTGGTAGTCATGTATGGTTTTGAGAGCTGGACCATAAAGAAGGCAGAGCTCTGAAGAATTGATGCTTTCAAACTGTGTTGCTGGAGGAGACTCTGAATACTCATTGGAAGGAGTGATGCTGAAGCTGAAGCTCCAATATTTTGGCAACCTGATGCAAAAAGCCAACTCATTGGAAAAGACCCTTATGCTGGGAAAGATTGAAGGCAGAAGGAGAAGAGGGTGACAGAGGATGAGATGGCTAGATGGCATCACCTGTGCAATGGGCATGAACTTGGGCAAACTCTGGGAGATGGTGAGGGACAGAAAGGCCTGGTGTGCTGCAGTCCATGGGGTCTCAAAGAGGTGGACACACCTAGGTGACTGAACAATGTTAACAACCAAATCATAAGCAAGAGCCACAGGGGGAAAATATGTAGTTCTACTATAAAGCATAAATAGATAGGTAGATAGATAGATAGACAGACAAAGATATATATATATATAGAGAGAGAGAGAGAGAGTGATGATCTGTGGATGAATCTCTGGTCATGAATGGCTTTGTCCAGATTCTAATATAAGGGAAGGTGTAAAGGATGAGAAGAAAATCAGAAAGATCCCTGTGATGAAGAGAATGAAGAATATGAAGTTTAAAATCCTTGCCTGGAAGGCAAGCCTGGGGAAACAGACCACTGTTTGCCTCTCTATTTTGTCAACTTCCTCCTCATCAGGACACCATGAAGCTGGTATGTGCAGTAAGCGCCAAGCTGACAAAGATGATGTGGAGCAATGCCTCCTCATTTGTGAGCCCCAAAGTGCTCAGGGACCTCATTAATGATGGGTTTGGGGAAGTGTAGGCTGGTGAGGGTCCAGGAACATGGGGAATGTTCTGGCTCTCAGGAAGTTCACCCAGATGATATTTGCAGGAGCTGTGATGCAAAGCGAGGCAGAGAAATGGGGTAGATGTCCAGCGACTCAAAGTGCTTAAAGTCAGTAGAGTAAATTGAGAGGCAAGGAGTGGCCACTCAGAGTATTCTGTGGGCACAAGTGAATCAGTCACTAAGAGGTCAGCATTGCTAGAGAGAACATTGTCCAGGTCAGCTTGGCAGCTGCTCAAGGATGTGAATGGAAGAGAATGAGGGGGTCATGTTCGGAGCAGCCAAGAGTGATGTTTGGAAGTTTGTGTGGAGAAGCCGGGTATTTGGAGAGAGGACGCCACTGGAAGTGTCAAGAAAGGCAGCTCCCTGGACATGATGAAGGTCGTACATTTCTTTCTGGTCAGTTTTATGTCTTTAGGAGCCCAGCTCTCCTCAGGGTTCTCTGGTGTGAATTCCCTCTCGGCACACCCTGGGAATCCTCCCCATGCCCCAGCAATAGAAGTGCCCATGGAGAAGATGGGCAGAGGTCACCCCACTTCCAACCTGCCCATCTCGGGTCCTGCCTCTGTCCTTCTCTGTCCTACATGAGTCCTTCAAACAGCACCTGCTTCCTGCCCGTGGACTCTGGAGGGGCAGACTTTTGACACCTGATTCAGCTGGAATTGAGATATGGTAGATTCATGTTAAAGACCATATTACGTAAGAATCCCATAGGCTTTGGAATCCAACCAATCTTGATTCTAATGTCAGTTTTCACACTTTTTAGCTGTGTGACATTAAGCAAATTATTTCACTTTCCATTGCCTTTTTGTACCACCTGTAAAATTGGGAGGATACCTATCCCACTAGGCTGTTGAGAGCATCAGAGAGAATTTGTAAAGTGCTGGAAGAAAAGGCTCTCGATAAACGGTGCTTGTTATCACTGTTCCTTTGCAGTTTCGGAGAATAGATAGTCCTCTCCTATCCTCTTTTATGGGACCTGGAACATATGTTACTGTGATGTGTCAGCAAGGGTCTCTGGTAAAAGGTCCACAAACAGGAGTTAAATATCAGATATGAGAAAGCAAGGGCTTGTCCAGGGAGCTCTAGAGACCCTCATGTCAGTCAGGAACTCTGTGGGACCTGATTGGCATTCAGAGAAACTGGACATTGGTCGCTGTAACTCACAGAGGGCTGTGGGTCTAGACATCAGAAGCAATGATATGTTTCGAGCCTCTCTGCCTATGGAACCCCACACCAGGCACGCTGAGAGTAAGTGGAGATGTGCTGACTGCTTCCAGGGTCTCAGATTCTTATGGGAAGGTTACGCACTGCTGTCTTCAGCCACCGGTCAGCACTCCCTCCCACTGCCCCTGCCTACCAGTCCCTCTCTCTTCCCTTTATTTAGTGCTTAATCACTAAAGGTGCAGTAAACGTCCTGCTTCCTTTACTTAATCCTTACAGCACCTCCTCTGTAGGGTTGTTCCCATTTTACAGACGTGGAAACTGAGACATGGGGAGATTAAGTGACTTGCCCAATGTTGTGCATTAGAATTTAAACCCAAACGGATCCATGTAACCAAAGCCTGTGTTTCATTTAAATTTTAAAAATAGTTTTAAAGGGTGGTATTTATTTGCTGCTGTATTTGGTCCTATGAATAATTCCTGTGAATTTTTTTTTTTCTTTTTAGATGTAGACAGTTCAAAAGGGGACATAAGGGAAAATAAATCTTCCCAATCCAGTTCTCAGGTCCCTACATGAGACTGGTCTACCCATTTCCAGGATGAACTCCTGGAAATGGCTTTACTGTATGAATAAAGGCTCCATGCAGTTTACATACTGGTAGACACAGGCAGGTCTTGTTTTATTGTGTTTTGCTTTATTGCACTTTGCAGATGTTGTGTTTTTTACAAATTGAAGGCTTGTGGCAATTCTGCATTGTCAGATGATAATAATAGTTTTTAGTGAGAAAGTATTTTTTAATGAAGGTGTGTACCTTGTTTTTATACATTGAGTGCTAGTGCACACTTAACAGAGCACTATACAGCATAAACATAACTTTTACGTGCACTGGGAAACCAGACCTTTGTGTGACTCTCTTTATTGCTATATTGGCTTTATCGCAGTGGTCTGGAACCAAAACTGCCATGTAGCAATATATGCCTGTCTTGCCAAATTGCTCTCCAAAAATGAGGCCTGTGCTCCTTACCATCAACCTTCCTTTCCTTAAAGTTGGCTTTTCTTTTTTAACTCACCTGCTGGGAAGCCCTGGCCACACACAGTGGGCCCCATAGGTCTCACTCTCAGGCCACACGGACCTTTCATATCAGGAGCTCTAGCAGGCGCCTCACCTGGACCAGGCTCTGGAGTTTCTCTGACCCTGGAGCTGCAGTAGAGACAAAGCTCAGAGCTAACACTTGGCCCCGGTCTTGGGCTTTACAAGGTGTGTTTGTGCTGGCAGGGATCACCTACTCAAGGACCCTCCTGTCCCAGGCCTGAGACCCTGGCCCAGGCGCCTAATGCTTTTGTGAGCTGCCTGCCTCATGTTTTGATGAACTGGTCTCTGGCAGAAGAATCGGTCAGTGTCCTCTCTCACCCCGGCTTTCTAGAAACAGCGTCTATATTTAGCCTGGTTGCACCACCACTACCCCCCTTTCCTGACCTGGGGTGTAATTGCCAACCACCCAGAGGATGAGGCTGAGAGCGCTGCTGAGGAAATGGGCTCCCATGGAAACCTGAGGCTCTTGTTTCTCAAAACCAAACCAACTCCCAGGCAATTAGCTTTGGGAGGAAGGCAGGGCGGGGTCTGGATCTTGAGGACAAAGCGCAGAGCCAGAGCTGGCCAGTCTGGCTGCCCTGACTCCTCATGGGCAGAGCCCAGATGACAACCACATGTGTGCACGTGCCCTTAGCAGGCAGCAGAACAGGAAAGCTAGGCCGCAGAGCCCGGGGAAATGGTCCTGGCAAACAGCCAACACGCCTGAAGGGCTGGCTGCAGAACCTGGGCTCCGGGAAGGGCCTGGGTCTGCTCTTGGAGTTGGTGGGGGAGGTTTCTGCCCCTATCCCCTGCCCCGGACGCTGAACGCCATGGCCCAGAGCGTGATGATGTTCTTTACGAGGCACAGCCTCTGTCTCCCCAGCCCTTATCCAGCTCCTTGCCTCTGATTCTGTCTGTAGACAAGCTGAGGGAAGGCTGGTTACTACATGTTTTCATAATAATAATTTTAGAGCTCCATGCATTCATAGTCTGCTTTCTGCTTTGCTCAAATAATGTGGAGACATAGTTCAAGGTTGGTGGGCTCCAGGACAAGGGGTGGCAAAGTATGAGAAGCACAGGCTGGTCTGAGCCCTGCTGTGAGGTCATGAGCTTGGCCACACCTTTCTCCCTCTCTTCCTCTCCCGCACCTTTCTTCTCCCCCGTCCACCTCCTCCTTTCTCTCCACTTCTCCCTCCTCGTCATGGTCTTGGTCCTCTTCCTCCTTCTCTGTCTCAGTTCTCTTGGGCTTCATACTCCGAGTACACAGTTGAAAGCAATGACACGGGTCCCCGCCCCCAGCATCTTTTAACCCAGCTCTGCACCCTTTGGAGTCCTATCCCAGCCTCTTCGGAGTCCACTCCTGCTGTCAGGCAAAGTCGGGCTGAGCAGCTGTCTCCAGCTCTCCTGAGTGAGGCCTCAGCTTTGCAACATGAGAAAGATGAAAGAAAAAGGATAACGTTTTCAAACTCTCTTTCCAAGCAAATTTGCAGTTGAGGGAAGTGCCCACCAAGGAGGGTCAGAGTTGGGGCCCGCAGAGCTTGAGGAAGGAGAGGCCTCGACAGGACACTGGGGCGCCCACCCTCTGAGGCCTCGAGAAGCTCTCGGCTCCCGGCGCAGGTCTAAGAGGCTTCGGCTCACATGTCTAGAGGTACCATGATGCGTATTCTTTTTGGTGCCTGTGGCTCTCGAGAAAGAACAGGGTGATTGTGAGCCAGACAAGACAGTGGGTGGGAGAACAGGGCAGCCTCTCAGCTGCCTCTCAGCTAGCCATCCCAGGCAAAATGCCCGGCAGTTAAAAAAAAAAATGAAATGAGAGTTTGCTCTAATTAGAAACTTCTGGTCCTTACGTAGGTTTAGAGAATCATGGGCATTCTGGGGCCTGAGCATTAATGGTAACAGGTGGCACCTCAAGAACCACCAGGTGAGCAAGAGAGAAAGGAGTGAAGGGGGATCTGGTCCTGGAACACACAGATGTGTCTCATTCTAAGCTAACTGAGGAGCTTCCATGTTCTTGAGCTGTTCTTAAGGGCCAGCTGCCTGGAGCCTTCTGCCTATGGGCTCAGCTTCAAGCTCCTTGAGTTTCTGGGGATGAAACAGTATCCAAGAAGCTAAGAACTCACATTCCTAAGGCCTTCCCTGGTGGCTCAGATGGTAAAGAATTGGCTCGCAATGTGGGAGACCCAGGTTCCATCCCTGGGCTGGGAAGACCCCCTGGGGAAGGGACTAGCTACCCACTCCAGTATTCTTGTCTGAAGAATCCCACGGACAGAGGAGCCTGGTGGGCTACAGTTCCATGGGGTCACAAAGTGTTAGACCCGACTGAGAGACTAACACTTTCACACTCCTAAGATCCCAACTTAGGAGTCTTTATTCTTTGCTAAATTGCTTCACTATAAGAGGAACCTCTAGGAAGATGTCCTCTATGCAGCCTCATAAAAGTCCCGGTAGCTGGCAGCAGGGGAGAAAGCCAGAATTAGGAAAATGAACCTTTGGACTTGCATACACACACACACACCTAAAAGCAGTGAAAGCTGCTCTGCCGATTTCAGTATTTATAAAAAAAATTTTTGTTGGGTTAATTCACTCATATTTCCTGTGTAATAAAAAAGAAGGAGGGGTAGAGGACTTTGAAGGTAAATAAAAGCAAGGATGGGGGAAGAATCAGCAGTGATCAGGAGGAGGGCACGGTGGCACACACGCAAGTCAGACGGTTGGGCAGGGGTGGCCACTGAGAGGGGCCAGGGGCTTGGCTGGGCCCCATTCTCCCTGGGAGTCTTGGAGCCAGGGGCCTGGCCAGCAGGTCTCAGGGTCACAGCCTCTCTCACGCAGGCAGGGCTGAGGGGCTGGGAGGTGGGTGACCCAGCGGAGGGTCCCTGCTCTCTCTTGACAGGCGGAGCATGAAGCGGAAGGCGCTGTTCACCTGTCCCTTCAATGGAGATTGCCGCATCACCAAGGACAACCGCCGCCACTGCCAGGCCTGCAGGCTCAAGCGCTGTATTGACATCGGCATGATGAAGGAATGTGAGTTTCCGGGGCGAGCTTAGGAGGGGCGGGGCGGGGGCAGGCGGTGCCTTTTGTGCGTTTTGGCCAGAGAGGTCCGCTTGCCCTTCCTCTGTAGCTGCCGTGATTTGGGGCCCCCGCGTTGCGGCGTGAGTGGGACCCGCAGCCCGAGGCAGGGTGGCCGGAACTCCAAGGTCCAAGGGACCCTGGGAGCCTTTCCGGGATCTGTGTGTGTGTCCGAGGCCTGAAAAGGGCCTCTCCGGTGCAAGGCCTGTGAGGAGGGACAGACATGAGTCCCTACCCTCAGGTTAATCTTCCTCTGAGACTTCATCGCTATTCTAACAGCAACCTTCTCTTAAGACCTTCTGGGAAAGGATGAGGCTCAAGAACCCCAGGGTTCTTTGGGCTTTGGGGGAGAGGGCTGCTGAGGGTGGGGAGAGGCAGCAGTGATGGGGAGAAGAAATATTCAGAGCCTGGTTGTCAAGGGGGTTCTGCCCCACCCTAGCCTTCCACTCTGGATACCTAGGCTGGTATCCAGAGCTAGGGCTTCCCAGGTGGCACTAGTGGTAAAGAATCCACCTGCCAATGCTGGTAGATGTAAGAGATGTGGGTTCAATCCCTGGGTTGGGAAGATCCCCTGGAGGAGGGCACGGCAACCCACTCCAGTATTCTTGCCTGGAGAATCCCATGGACAGAGAGGCCTGGTGGGCTATGGTCCATAGGATGGCAAAGTGTCGGAGACAACTGAAGTGACTTAGCACGTACCCAGGGCTAGGTGGAAAGATCCTGCAAGGGGAAGCACCGAACTCTAGTAGGACCCTCTAGATCCAGATGAAGAAGGAGGAGTGATCTTCTAGGACTTCCTGTCTAGCTCTGGGGTTGCAGGAGAGGACCAGTGGGGCAGGTTGACATATTCTGATTCACTGTTAAAAACAACTCCTGGAGTTTGCATCTGAGCTCTAGTATGAGTTACTTGGTAACCAGAGACACCATTGAATCCAGTGGACCTGGGGAGGTGCTGGCACTTGGCAAGGGCACTGGGCTGCCCTGGGCATGGGTACCCTCTGCACACTCTAGCCTGCCCTGTCCCTTGGCTCACCCCTGTCTGTGCTCTGTACCCTGATCCGCTCCAGGATCTGCAATTGTGTGGGTAGCCTGCTGAGCTGTGGGCTGAAGAGGCTCAAGAGAGACACTCAGATGCATCCAGACTTGGAGGTCATCTTGGCTACGGGGCCCACTCTGGGTGTATGTGGGTGGGTGGGTGCAGGGGAGTGGGGAGGCCAGGTACAGGGGAGATGTGTCTCGAACAAGGGAAAAGCCACAGGACAGGGCTGAGGGGATGGGCAATTTCTTCCTTGGCGAGAAAAAAATTCTTTGTTTTGGGGGAAACAGAAGCCTCCTCAGGCCTTGACAGGCTCCCTTCTGATGGGCCACGGCCCCTCTCCTGATCCCAGCTCCCCAGTCAACACTGGCAGTGCTGGAAGAAGTTTCCAAGCTGTCGTTGCTCCTCACCCCCACAGGAGCAGGCAGGCCTGGGCAGGCAGATCGCTCCTTGCCCGGTCCCCTGCCCCACCCGACTCCTGTTTATCCTGGAGCCGTGGAGGCTCAAGGCCTGGGTGCCTCATGGGGCTTCTCACATGCCGGTTCAGGGAGGCCTGCTCTGTTCAAGGTGCTGGGCTGCACACAGGATGCAGAACGTGAAGCCCCTGCCCATTCCGAGCACATAGTCCCCACAGGGCAGACAGCCATGATTCTAAGGCCCCAGCCAGCCAAGAATGGCCCAGACTTATACCTGGGATCCAGTAAGGCTCTGCCACAGGAGTTCTGGTCAGGGCCAGCCTCAGTGATGTCCCAGAGGTGCCTCTCCTGGTATCTTGGGAGAAAAGAGATGTTCATCAGCTTAGAACAGGAAGCACACTTAGAAATCATCTGAAACCCAGAAAAGCAAAAGCACCAGGATTGGGGTCAGAAAGCAAGTTGGGATTAGAACCCAACTCCTTGTCCCCTCCTAGATCCCTCCTGGTCCCTGTGGAGAGCACCGCATCCACCCTGATGAGCAGGCCTTGAGTGTTCCAGGGTGCCCCAGCCCCAGGAATGCCACATGGTGGGGGGCCAGCAACCCAGAAATGGATGCTCACCCCGAACTTCCAATCAGCTTTGTGCCTCAGCCACCCCCACCTCAGCTTCAGTCCCTGTGACGGAGCCCATGCTCCCACCCTGCTCTGTGCTCAGGGCAGCCCGGTGCCCACCCCTCTCGCCATCCTAATGCAAGGAGCTGTGCTGAGCTCAGGATGGGCTGGTAGCGCTGAGTTTTTGGGGTCTGGGCCCCAGAGCTCCAGGTAAGATGGAAACGTTGGGGCAACACTGAACTTATTCTTTCCACTGCCCCAAAAGGAAGGTCCTCTGGGAAGAGCTCTATTTCCTGCCTCTGTTTAGCCAAACTTTGGGAGACCTGTCAATATATCTGGCCTGGAACTCTCCAGCTCCGATCGATCCCTAGTGAATCTGCTTACTGACCATCTGGGCTGGCTGTCATCCCCAAAGCCTAGCCTCCTGGAGACAACTGAGTGTCAACATTAGTAAAACCACAGCAAACCCCAGGGCTTCCTTTGAAGGAAGCTGCAAACCCAGGCTCCATTCTGGTGGGGCTGAACAGGTGGCTTGTCCCTGCAGGAGGCATGGGAAGGGGGCGGGGATGCATGTGGGAACCAACATTTGTTGGCCACTTACTATATGAGTGTCAGGCACTAGCACTTTCTTCTTAAAATTTGACAACAATCCCTGAATTTGTAAATATTTCTATTTTTATTTTTATTTTTTGTAATAGATGTGCAATCTCAGAGACATTAAAATATCATGCCTCCAAAGCTAATAATCTAGGTCGGTGTGCTTCCAAAGGCCAGGCCTGTGGGCTCCACCCCAGCATAACCCACTGGTCCCCCTTCCCCTTCTCCCCTACCCTCCTCGGTGGGCCAGAGCTCCTGCATTCTGCATTTGCAGGCACTGCCTGGGGCTCCAAAGGATGGATTGAAGAGAGTTTGTTCTCACTAAAGACTCTCTCTGTCTCTTCAAGTCCAGGTTGACTTGATGTCCTTGGAGCCCAAGACATTTCACAGCAGAGTTCAGGCCTCTTGTAGACCTGGCCTGCATGTGTGAGCTTGTTTAATATTTTTATTCATGGACATCTTTTCTGCCCATCATGAGCACAGCCTCTGATAGTAGGTGCTCCATAAATATGTGTTGGATGATTGACTATTAGCTCGCCATTGTGCTTCTTTGTATCTCTGCATCTCTTACTGATTTACAGATCAAGAAGATCACCCATATCTGATATTGTCAATGTCATTCATTTGGAAAAATTTTGTCTGTTTACCTAATGTTGTCCTTAGGCCACCTTTGGCAACTTGAAATGTTTTTAAGATGCTTGTGCTTTCAGATATTGACTCCCTAACTCAATCATAGACTTCATGGAATAGGGAACATCTTGCATGGGGTTAACTTGAGCAAAGCCCTTTACCCAGTCAGCAAGGAATTGAGAAGCTACTAAGCAGCCATATGGGTTTCACAAAGTCCATGTACACAGCTCATGCCCTTTATTCATTGACAAACCCATCAATGGGCTTTTAACTTCAAAATGTGCCTCCTAGTGAAAAATAAATTTCTACTCTTTAAGCTGAAAAAACATACAAAACAAACAACAAAAAAGTGTTCTCCTACATGACAGTAATGGTATTTTTAGTAGCAATTCATTGAGAAAATGATTTTTTAAGCATTCTATGAAATTAACAACCCCTTTAAGCAAATGAATTATTTTGTAAGTCACAACAATATCTGCATATATGAGAGGCTTATAGCTTATCTAGTCCCCTGCCAACGTTGCCTGCAGGGAGATCCATGGATTGGCAGCCTTCATCTGAAACCAGCAGATCTTAGTGTTTCTTCCTCTAGTACTGCCAACAGGGTGATAGTTGCTATTGCTAGAAATAATGGAGAGGAGAAATGCCATAAGGTTAACTTTAAATCTCTTAATGTTATCCTTTTAAAGTATATCACTTACAAGCTTTGCTACTTTATTTAATCATTATTTTCTCACACTCTTCAGGTGGATCAGAACACCTGCTCTGTCATGACTCCACAGAAAACCAGGGTCCGGCTGAGCATTCATAGCCAATCATAGTCATAGGCAGTATGGAGTAGTAGTTAGGACCTTGGACTCTAGAACCAGACCACTCAGACCCGATACCAGCTCTACCACTTGTATGCCCTGTGACTTTTAGCAAGCTTGATCGCCTCTCTGGTTCTCAGGTCCCCTCACTTGTAAAATGAGGATAATAGCATCTGTCTTAAGGGTTACCATAAGGACCAAATAATGTGAGTTAATAGGTAAGAAGTACTTGGAATAGTGTTTGGTACATAAAAAAAAAACTGTATTTTTATTAACAATGTATTTATTAACAGTATTTTTTATGACCTATAGCTTGGTCACCAGAGTTTCTGGCTCCCAGCAGATTAAAAGTAACTCTTAAGGAGGATAAAGGTACACTCCAGTAAGAAGAGACAACGCATAGCTTAAGACAGCGGGATAGACTGGTTGGAAGAGTAACATAGGACCTCAAAATCATAGCAGGCTGAGTCACACAGTGCAGGAAAACAGACCCATATGGTTCTGAGATCATAACCTTGTTCCTGCAAAGTCCAATAATTATTCAGAATGATGCCTCTGAATCATCAAGCAAAGGTTACATGATGTTACAGGTGCTCCGTTACAAGGGGTTCTGTCTTGAAAATACTTGTCACAAGTATTTGAAAATGTAAACTTTGCTCAGTGATCTGGTGGACTGGCAGGTGGAGTGTGCCATTCTGAAATTGTAGAGAACGGGCATCATTGGTGCACATCCAGAGCCAGGAGGACGACCAGCACACAGTAGGTACAGTCAGTGTTGATATGTTGGGTTTCCGGTGCATCAGACCACTGAGGATGCTCCACTGGGCTAGCCTTGGTACAGGAGATATAGGCATTGTAAGATGCAGCCCCCAAACTTAGATACCCTGCAGTTCCAGTGAAGGAGACATTGAACTTAGTCTCTCTCTATTGCAAGTATTTATTGGAACCTATATGTGATATATAACCATAAATGCGATAACCATAAATGTGATAGAGTGAAAAAAGATCGGGTGCCAGTGTGTGTGGGAAAAACTGCCCCTTGCAGATCAGGGCAATACAGAAGCCTTTGTGGTACAGGAGGTTGTGAGCTGGGTGCTGGGGAACTGGTAAAATCTGCATGGCTACTGGGGAGAAAAGACCCAGCTGGACAGGCATCCAGCACGTGGGAAATGCCATGGCAGGAGTGAGCGGGTCATGTCCACAAGCCAGCAATCCCAGTGCGACTAGACCAACAGCTGTGTCAAGACCCCGGCAATGAGGTTGGAAAGTTAGGAAGAAGGGAAATCACAAAGAATCTTGGCTTCAGCTGGGGCATGGTAAGCAGGAAGGATTCAGAAGAAGTTTCTGAGCAGGACAGTGACGTCACAGAATCACAGGGGTTTATGAGAGCCCCGTGGGGCTGAAAAGCACCCCTCTGGGCAGCCAGAGCCGTCCCCCCAGCCCCAGCCTCGTGGCATCCTGCGCCTGCCCTTCAGATGACCGGGGAGGACTCGGTCCCTAATCTTGGCCTCCCCAGGCTAGCGTCTCACACTCTGCCTTGAATGGGGTGCTCCCTGCTGCTCCCCCCTCCCATCCGGCTGGATCTCTTGGGGTCTGAACTGACACCCTCTGTGGGAGGAGGGCGGGCAGCTCTTTGGATAGGTGAGTCAGTAACCTGGGCGTGGCCTCCGCCCTGTCTTCCCCTAGGTACTGTTTACCTCAGCTCTGGAGGGACGCGCCATCTTCCGCCACCGGCTTCCTTTTCCTGCCCTGCCCACACACACCCCCCACAGGCTTGCCTTGCCCCACCCCCACTTCTCTCGTCCTACCTCCACCCCAGAGGCCAAGGCCCATGGGCCTTTCCTGAAGCCCAGAAGCCACCCACTCTGGCATTCTGGTTCTTTTTTCCTGCTCTTGTGAAACGCTCAGTTCTGTGGGCAGATGCCCTGGCAAGACTAGCACAGAGCAAGCAGCTACAGGCCGAGGGCCCCAGTGCCCACTCCTGCCGTCAGCGCTCTGCAGGCCCTGGCCGGGAGGTCTGTGTGCTGGGCCTGCTCCCAGCCCCACCCTCCCGGCAGTCGCCCAGCAGAAGGAGGCTTGGAGCAATCAGACACCCTGGCTAGCCACTTGAGAGAGATTCCCAGATAGAGCGTGAGCTGCTACCTATCCTTGGGGACTTCTGAAGGACTGGAAAACTTCCCTGGGCAGAAATTTCAAGACTGGAAGGACTGAAGGAGGGGTTGTTTTGCAGGGAACCGAAGAGGCAAAGTCTTTTCTACTTTGGCCAGAGTAGATCACATGCCTGGAAAGTTACGTGGGGATGACCACGTAGAGGGGTCCTCTCAGCATCTCCTAGCTTCCGACGCTGGGACCCTGCACCCTCCCTCCCCCTGCAGGGCTGGATTCAGGTCTCAAAGCAGTTGACCCTTTGGGGTAGGATCCCCACACCACATGCTTCCTGGAAGAAGGAATAAAAAGGGATCTTAGGAGAGATCCTATGGTCCAATCTCCTCATTTTAGAAATGAACAAACAGAAGCCTGGAGAGTTCAATCTGTTCAGAGTCAGACAATCTTGTTCTTGGGAATCCCAGTCACCTTAATGATGCCCAAGCATCCTGCCTCCCAAATGCTCTGTTTCCTCCTCTCTCATGCTCCTGCCTTTTCAACATACAGCACCCACTCTTTCATCTGTATCGTGGGCTTTGGGTCCCCGTGGCAGGATGGCCTGGTGAGCTCCGAGTGTCAGGGCACAGCCCCTCCCATCTGGAGCCTTTACCCTTGGAGGAAGGTTCCTTGGAGGCGCTGCAGGCCCTGCCTTCCTGACACCCCTTTCCGGGCCCTGCAGTCATCCTGACCGATGAAGAGGTGCAGCGGAAACGGGAGATGATCCTCAAGCGGAAGGAGGAGGAGGCCTTGAAGGACAGCCTCCGGCCGAAGCTGTCGGAGGAGCAGCAGCGCATCATCACCATCCTGCTGGACGCCCACCACAAAACCTACGACGACACCTACTCCGACTTCAGCCAGTTCCGGGTACATGGGCTGGAGGGCGAGGGGATCTGGGCACAGCACCCGGGGAGGGCTGGAAGCTGCTCTGCCCTCTGACCCTGGGGAGGGCTGCCCCTCCTGTAAACAGAAGATCAGGAAGAGGAGGGAGGAAGGTGACCTCCAGTACGGGCTTCTGACACTCCCCCTTTCCCTTCCAGCCTCCAGTTCGCAAGGGTGAGCATGAGGGGAACCCTCCTTTGAGGTCGATACTCACGCCCAGCTTCTCTGGAAGCTCGTCCTCCTCTTCGGATCACTATACCTCCTCTCCAGGTGAGCGGGACAGCACACTCCCTCCCCAGGGTCCTAGAGCTTTCCCGGCCCACCTACCCTCCGCTGCGGCCAGGACAGCACTCACTACTGGGGGCTGCCCAGAACAACCCCTTTTTAGAGAAGAGGCGTGACGTGCCCAAGGTCGCATGCTGAGGACTCTAAGAGGCCACGCTGTTGCCTGCAGAGCCTCTGTTCCTTCCTCTAAGCCAGGCTTCTACACCGGGCTCCCTCCCTGGAAGTGATCTGATTCCTTTCAATGGTCCTTTGAGCCTGGGCCCTTGTTGCCGGGTGGATTGTTTGTTGGTTTGGTTTTTGTTTTTTCCAGCTTTATAAAAATATAAGATGGCACTAGTGGTAAACAATCCACCTGCCAATGCAGGAGATGCAAGAGAGGTTGGTTCGATGCCTGGGTCAGGAAGATCTCCTGGAGGAGGGCATGGCACCCCAATCCAGTATTTTTGCTTGGAGAATCCCCTTGGACAGAGGAGGAGCCTAGCGGGCTATAGTCCATGGGGTCGCAAAGAGTCGGACACAACTGAAGCGACTTAGCATGCATGCATGCAATTGACATACAGCATTGTATAAATTTAAGGTATATAACATAATGATTTGATATAGGTATACATTGGGAAATGATTGCCACCGTAAGTTAGTTAACCTCATAGAGTTACAAAGAGTTTTCCCCCCATGATAACATTTAAGATGTACTCTCTTAGCAACTTTTAAATATAGCCAACAGTGTTGTTAACTAGTCATCAGAGCCTGAACCTTTGGAAGGTGAAATTCAGCATGGAAGCCCACCTTCCACTCAAGCCACCTTCTACTAAGGTCCTGGAGGACCTGTCCCTTCCAGCTCATCCTTGCTTTCTTATTGTCCTTCTCTACCTTCCTCTGCATCTTCCTGCCTCATCCTCCCCCATCCTTGTCTTCATCACTCTACCTCTCACCCAATCCAGCTGCCCTCTGCCAGAAAGGAGGACAGAGATGGAAAAGCTCCTCCCCTCTGGGGAGCTGGAGCCCTCAGACATGGTGCTTCCAGACTCACTGATGGATCTGTGTCCAGATCAAGAGTAGGTGGGAGGGGTCTCTGTGCCAACTAGACAGAGATAACAGCAGAGCAGGTCATGTGTCTACCCATCTACTGTGACCACTGCACGGATAACTGATCCCTGAGCCCCTCACCTTGTTGTTAACCTTGTAGTAACCCCTCTCCTGTGTTAATTTTCTCTATCCACCTTCCTACTGTTTTTACTTTATGGTAGAATCATTTTTATCAATGAAGGTCAATCTGAATGGTATACATTTTTTCAGCTTTTTTTTGGAGTATAATTGCTTTACAATGTTGGAAAGCAACTGTACAATGCTATACAGTTTCTGTTGTATAGCAAAGTGGATCAGCTATGCATGTACACACATCCCCTCCCTCCAGGACCTCCCTCCCACCCAAGCCCATTCTACCCTTTTAGGTCATTGAGGTCTCAGAGCACTGAGATGAGCTCACTGTGCTATAGAGCAGGTTCCCACTAGCTATCTGTGCACACATGGTAGTGTGTATATGTTCATCCTAATCTCCCAGTTCCTCCAACCTTCTCCATCGCTGCTGTCTGTCCCCATGACTGTTCTTTATGTCTGCATCTCTGTTCTTGCCTTGCAAATAGGTTCATCTTGTGCTTCAACTTTTAATAACAGCTTTATATTACTTAGAAGTTTTGATTTCCCCTTACAGGTGAATTAATCTGAGGTGCTCACCTACCCCCATGGTATGGTTGGTATGTATGCATGTGTGTGTGCGTGCTCAGTCATGTCTGACTCTGCAACCCTATGGACTGTAGCCCACCAGGCTCCTCTGTCCATGGGATTCTCCAGGCAAGAATACTAGAGCAGGTTGCCATGCCCTCCTCCAGGGGATTCTCCTGATCCAGGGATCAAACCCGCATCTCTTTATGTCTCCTGCACTGGCAGGCAGGGTACCCAGGCCGGGTGTCTGCATTTACCACTAGCGCCTATATTATGTCATATTTTCATGTCATTTAGTACATACCTAGCATATAATTTTTGAAGCTGCATAGTATTCTGGGGTATAATGTACAATAACACATCTAAACCCCCTACCACTGGATATCTAGATTTTCCCCCAGCTCTTGATTAAGATAACAGCGTGCTTGTGGCTAAATATTTGCACTCATTCTGAATTTTTCCTTATGCTGAATTCATGGACATAGGATTACTGGTCACAGAGTGTACGTGACTGTAGGCTTTTGACCCTCGTGGTCAAATTGCGTTCTAGATTACTTGCACAAATGTGTGCCTCCTTTAGCACCCCAACACTGCACAAGGATTGCCTAATTTCCTGCATCTTTACAAATACTGGTGTCAACCTTTAAACATATTTGCTTCTAGTTTAGAGATGGCTGTTCTTTGATCACTAGTGAGGCTGAACATTTTTTCCATAACTTTATTGGTTCCAAATTCATCTTTGACTTGAGATCATTAGGAACGACATGTAAAATCACTCTTAAAGAAGTCTCATGTCTCAGAATGTCTCTGCTCTTTGATTTTCCTGCTTCTTCACTCTGTTGAAGAAAGACGGGGGGGATCCTCAGGGGGACACTTGAGTGGAAGTGACTTTGGAGAGAGGCGGTCAAGCCGGAGAACAGGAGGGCCTCACAGGAGCAAGGCTGGCTCAAGTGATTCCTTTTCTTCCCTCTTCCTTCCCCAGACACAACGGAGCCAACCAGCTTCTCCAACCTGGATCTGAATGAAGAAGACTCCGATGACCCTTCTGTGACCCTGGACCTGTCCCAGCTCTCCATGCTGCCCCACCTGGCTGACCTGGTCAGTTACAGCATCCAAAAGGTCATCGGCTTTGCCAAGATGATCCCAGGGTTCAGGTAAGAAGTTTCTGGGACATCCAGGAGACAGAGTCAGAATCCTATCCTGAGCCCAAAGAAGTCTTGGAAATTCTCAACCTACTGCTTCCCAAAATACACCTTCAGGTCCTATCCCAGACCTCCTAAATCAGAATCTCTGGGCAAGGTCCAGAAATCTGTATTTAAGAAGTGCAGCCTCTCCAGCATTATGGGGCAGGCCGTCAGTGGAAAGCCATGCATCCTTCACAGTGTCTGTGTGATAGAACAAACATTGCCCAGTGAAGTTCAACGCCCGGATTTCCAGTGTTGGAGCCGGTGTGTCAGAACTGGATTGAGAACTCTGAGTTTGCTGCCCTGTCCACTCCAGCTGCCTTTTCTCATATTATCTTTTTATTTTTTAAAATATTTTATTTGTTTATTTGGCTGAGGTGGGTCTTCGTTGTGGCATGTAAGATCTTTGATCTTCATTGAGGCATGCAGACTCTTAACTGTGATGTAGCGGTAAAACCCAGGCCCTCTGCGTTGGGAGTGTGCATGGACTCTTAGCCGCTGGACCACCAGGGAAGTCCCTCATGTTATCCTTTTAAATTAAACCTACATTAATCCTTCACTCCCAGTTCTGAAATTAGGATGAAGTGATAGAGTGGAGAAAGGGCTGAGCTTGTGAAGTAATTTAGAAATCCTAGAGGGAGAGGGACTTGCATCTATAACCTGGGCATCTTTCACCCGATGTATCACCCAAGGCCATTTCCTAATTGTACTGAGATATTTTTTGCCAAAGTAGGTAAGTATAAGGAGTTTGACTAAAGTAGTGCATGCTTAGTCACTCAGTTGTGTCCAACTCTTTGCAACCCTATGTACTGGAGCCTGCCAGGTTCCTCTGTCCATGGCATTCTCCAGGCAAGAATTCTGGACTGGGTTGCCATTTCCTCCTCCAGGGATCTTTCCAACCCAGGGATTGACCCTGCATCTCTCACGTCTCCCGCATTAGCAGGCAGGTTCTTACATCTGAGCCACCCAGGAAGCCCTCAACTGAAGTAGAGACCCTCCCTTATGGATTCATTTGTACATGTTTAAATGTTCTATTATTTTGGTAATAATGGTATATAATACTTATATTTAAATGGTTGTGCGTGCTCAGTCGCTTCACTCATGTCTCACTCTGTGAGACCCTATGGACTATAGCCTGCTGGGCTCCTCTGTCCATGGGATTATCCAGGCAAGAATACTGGAGTGGGTTGCCATACCCTCCTCATTTAAATGGTCATGCAGTGCTCAATATTCTTAACAGTATGTAAAAGTTGACACTTTTAATAGATATGCTGGGAGGCAGTTTAATCTATATTTATGAATGTTTATAGTCTCCTTCTTTCTAAAAGTTCATTTGGGACATTGTCTTCAAATACATAGACAATGTGGTTGAGACATGAAGTAAATTAAGGAATATCAAGCAGCATTCTCATCATTTCAACTAATAGCAATAGTCAAAGTCATACCAGAAAGGGGCAGCATGCTTCCTCAACACTAATGCTCAGATTCGGGGCTAGAACATTGGGAACTGGAAAATGACTGTATGTTGGCCAGCTCTGGATTGAAGCTAACAGGGGGTGCATTTATTGTTTGGGGAATCTCTGCTGTGTAAGGAAGCCATCAGCTGTTGTCAAAATTGCCACGCTACCAGCTAAATGTTAGTAATTTGTGCAGCTAAACCCAGCACTTCCCAGTTTGTTTTCTATCCTGAGACAACTTGCTGTCTGTTACTTTATGCCTCACACCAATTCAAATACCAGGTATTTGCCAATGCTCTTTTCTGGAATTAAAATGAAAATTGTAAAGGAGTGAAAACATCAAATGGTGTTGAGACATTCTTACTACATAGTGCACCTTGGTCACATGAAAAGGAGTAAAAGCTACTCCGGCAGGCAGAACGGGTGTTGTTTGTGAGGCCCGAGATTCACCCTACAAGAGCCCTTCCTTGGAACCGATGACACATTCTGCTCAGTTCAAGTTCCAACTCCCTCCTCCTCCTTTCATGTTACTGTTGGCAAACTGTACTTGTTCCAAAGTCTTGTTTTGTGTAAATAGCTAGAGAAAAAACACTTCAGGTTGTTGATGGATACACTGTAGCAGGCGGTTCCCAGCTGAATTCCAGGAGCAGCAGACCTCCTCTGCACAGGGTTCCTCCTTCCTAGCCCAGTGGACCAGAGAGCACCCAAAGCCCTGTCCAGAGGCTGAGGTTTGGTGCTTTTCAGTGGTGGCTGGGTGATTTTCCACCTGTGAAAATCATCCTAAAAAGAAAATGACTTGTTTAACCAGAATACCCAAATGCACCCCCTCCACTAAGTAACCTGAGCCCCAGTTTTTCTCTTGGCCCCCATCCCTTACCCTTACCCCACACACCCTCATACAAAATAGCATCACTAGCCCCTCAATTCCTCTCCCCAAGTGAAAGTCATGTCCGACTGTTCTCGACCCCATAGACTGTAGCCCATCAGGCTCCTCTGTCCATGGGATTCTCCAGGCAAGAATACTGGAGTTGCCATACCCTCCTCCAGGGGATCTTCCCAACCCAGTGATTAAACTTGCATCTCCTGCATTGCAGGCAGATTCTTTACCACTAGCGCCACCTGGGAAGCCCTTCTCTCCCCAAGGATGAGATAAAATCTCCCCCCACCCTACCACCACCACCCCACCCCCACTTCCTTCCCTTTCAAGTCTCATTCTCCAGAGTTCCCTGCTCTAGCCCTGCAATCCTGGCAGAAGTGAGGTGTATACGAACAGGTACTGCAACCACCCAGCTATTGAGGCCAAATGGATTAAATCATGCTTGAGTTGACTTTTCTGGCTTTGGCATGGCTTGAGAAGTCACAAAATGGAATGTTTTCCAACAAAACTGGAGAAGGCCTTAGCAAGGGCTCTGGGAGGGTCACTGATGTGGATGTTCACTGGGACTGGATGGAGCAGATGCTGCCCCAGGCCTGGACCAGAGCCCAGGCTCCTGGGACCCAGGCGGGGCCAGCCCATCTGCTCTCTGGTTCTGCCAGTTTCTGCAGTTAGATGTTCTGTTCTTCCAAGAAGTGAAAGAACAATGGCTGCATCCCTGGTAGCTTTGATCTTGCTGCCTGGAGGCAGGGGTGGAAAGTGTGGGGAGGGCAGGATGAGACTTCTGTGTGGATGAGTGGAGGCGAAAATACAGGATGAGGCTCCAGTGCGGGTGTGGGACCAACGTGGGGCAGGACTGGATGGACTGTGCTGGGTGTGAACTGCCCTGTGGTGTGACTTTGGCTCTACTCCTGCCTCTCACCTCTTCTCCCTCAGCTTCTTAGTCTGCACCCTACAAATCTCCCTCCCTCGGCCCTGCAAGAGAAATGCAGGGGAAAGTGGCATCAGGAGCAGCAGCTTAATGACCAGGAGTGGTCTTGGATCTGAGAACCAAGGAACCCAGGTTTCACTGCCCAGAGGTGTGCATGAGAGACCAGACCCAGCAACCCCAGAGGGTTACATGCCTTCAACCTCACCACTAATTTTATCCCTAGGGACTCCTTCCAGGGTCAAAGGCCTGGGGTCACAGTGCTTCCCTCCTCCTGTACCTTTCCTCTATATTCACTTATGCATCTGTCCAGCACTCAGCTTTCTTACATATACCGTGAGAGATAAAAGATGACTGGCCTCCAGGGGTTGGTGTCTGATGGAAGAGATAGATAGACATGTGAACGGCTGCAGTGAATGCAGCTGATGGAATACAAGCAGGGAGGGTCTGGACACTGCCTGGCAGGGATGGGAAAGACAAGCAACACATACCCAGAGTGTCTCACAGATGCCCAGAAATTCCACCGCTACCCCCACCCACCACCATTACCAGTTCTGGCTGCAAGCTGCACTTAGAAAGTCCCTGTATTTCCAGGCTGTGGGTGGTAATTCGAGGTCGTTCTAGATTTGCTTTCATAGAAGTAGTATGTCTGGATCACAGTAGGCAGTGGTCCTGCTGAAATCTCCATAGCCAGGCACCTGTGGGATGCTTGTTTACTTCCAGCCATCCATTCTGAGTGGGCCCATTGAACAAAACATTACGTACAAAGATGTCCCTCATGGAATTCCTTATAACAGCAAAACTCGTTGTTGCTATTGTTCAGCCGCTAAGTCAGGTCCAACTCTTTGCAACCCCATGGGCCCACCAGGCTCCCCTGTCCATGGGATTTCCCAGTCAAGAATACTGGAATGCGTTGCCATTTCCTTCTCCAGGGGCTCTTTCCAACCCAGGGATCAAACCCACATCTCTGGGCATTGGCAGGTGGATTCTTTACCACTAGCCACCAGGGAAGCCCCAAACAGCAAAACTTAGAAGTGACCAAAGTGCCCAAACATAAGTGGGTGGGAGACCGATTAAATAACCTATAATACACTGATGTAACATGATGCCTCATACTGTGAACTGACATAGAAAGTTGGACACAGGATTACTATGACCTGGTGCACGTTTGAAAAAGAGATATTTGCATGGAAAACAGATAGGAAGAAAATAAACCAAAGTGTTTGTTGTGGTTATGAGCCATTTTTACTTGACTTTATATTTTGTCTGTATTTTCCCAAGATTTAATAATGAACATATTTTACTTGCATCATGAATTAAAACCCAAATGAGGGTGGTGTTAGTTTTCACTTTTTCAATGTGGATTGAGCACCCAGAGAAGGGTGCCAAGGACAGTGAAACATTCAGACACCATGGCTTCAGCGTTGTTTATTCCAGAGAAGAGGCAAGGGGAGAGGGGACATGATGGCTTTCCTTAAATGGTTAAAGGGATGTTCCATGGATTGGGCTCCACTGGTTAGTAAAGAGTCTGCCTGCAATGCAGGAGACTCAGGTTTGATCTCCGGGTGGGGAAAGATCCCCTGGAGAAGTAAATGGCAACCCACTCTAGTATTCTTGCCTGGAAAATCCCATGGACAGAGGAGCCTGGCAGGCTACAGTCCATGGCGTCACAAAGAATCAGACACAGCTTATCAACTAAACCACCACCACACCCATGGCTAATGCAGAACTCTGGTTCTGTGTTCCTTGAGAGGACAGAACTACAAGCCATGGATGAGTGTGTCATCTTGTGGGTTATTGCTCAACAGGAGAAGACGTTATTAGCCCAAGAGCCAAGCACCTCATGACTGTGGCCAGAGGCTGGGAGCTCCCTGGCCCCGGGGGGAATCCTGCAGAGGTTGTGTGAAAGCCATCTGTCAGAGATGCTGAGGAAGGAACTGGACCACAGTCTCGAGGAGGGGCCTTCCAACTCTAGCACTTTGTGATTTGCCTTCAGCGTAGCCCCTTTGGTGCCCATCTGGTCATGCAAGCCTTTCCACACCTCCTCACGCATCACCTGTTGACCTAGGACTCTTATCCGTTAACATCTGTTTCCCACCTTTTTACATTCCAAAGTGCAGCCACAGGGGATGACAGCCCCTCAACAGGAAATCCAGAGGAAGTACGAAATCAGAAAGAGAAAGGGAAGAAGTGGAAGCAGTTTGGTCTGTGGGCCCTGATTCTTTCCTTGTCTTTGTTCAGATAAGCCCAGCTCGTGACTCAGAATAGTGGAGCTAGTCATGAGCCTCTTGACTCATCAACACAGAGTTATTGACCCTCTCGTCAAGCTCAGGGCTCAGTGATCAGTGCAAGTGTGGTGCTGGCCTTCAAGCAGTTTATGATGAAGAGCCAGTGACAAGCATCTAAAGGACAGGATTAACTAGAGCCTATTATACAGCGTGAAGTAAGTCAGAAAGAAAAACACCAATACAGTATATTTACACATATATATGGAATTTAGAAAGATGGTAATGATGACCCTATATGCGAGACAGCAAAAGAGACACAGATGTAAAGAGCAGTCTTTTGGACTCTGTGGGAGAAGGCGAGGGTGGGATGATTTGAGAGAACAGCATTGAAACATGTATATTATCATATATGAAACAGATCGCCAGTTTGGATTCGATGCCTGAGACAGGGTGCTCAGGGCTGGTGCACTGGGATGACCCTGGGGGATGGGGTTGGGAGGGAGTTGGGAGGGGGCTTCAGGATGGGGAACACATGTACACCCATGGCTGATTCTTGTCAATATATGGCAGAAACCACTACAATATTGTAAAGTAATTAGCCTCCAATTAAAATAAATTAATTTTAAAAAATAAAAATAAAGGACAGGAGTGAAGGGGAAAAGGCAAAATAGGGGTACAAGCAATGTGAAGCAGGTGTTATAGGAATGGATCTAATTCTGCAAAGAGAATCAGAGGTTGGAGGGATCCATGAAAGGCCTAACTAGACTCAGGACCAGAAGAAGATGCATTCTCTAAGCTGGAGCTGTCCTATGTTCAAAGGCATGGCAGTGTGAGAATACCTAGCATCCAAACATGGAATAGTTTGATGTTGTTAGAATGGAGGGTTGGTGGAGTCTGTGATGGGAATCAGGGCTGGAAAGACATTTTGGAGCCAAGTTATTGAGTATGGGCTTGACCCTAGGGTGTTGGATAGTCAGTGGGGATTTCTGAGCACAGGAGTGACACTTTCCTGTAGCGACAGTAAGAAGGCAAATGAGAGACTTGACTTCAGGATTCTAATAAGAGGCTACTGAAAAAGATGATGGAACTCTGAATCAAAACAGTCTGGAGGGAGTGGGGTCCAGAGATGTCCTGGAGACAGAGTTGACTTCACTACTGGAAGGACCAAAGAATAGGAGCCATTGAGGATGGTCCTGGCCATGCTTTTGCAGACCTCCATATTCATGCCATGGGCTTCCCAGGTTGTGCTAGTGGTAAAGAACCCACCTGCCAATGCAGGAGACATAGGAGTTGTGGGTTTGATCCCTGGGCCAGGAAGATCCCCTGGAGAAGGGGATGGTAACCCGCTCCAGTATTCTTGCCTGGAGAATCCCATGGACAGAGGAACCTGGCAGGCTACAGTCCATGAGGTCCCAAAGAGTCAGACAGGACTGAAGCATCTTAGCCACACATACTCATGCCATAGCCCTGGGAGCCTCCTCAGGCTCCATCTTCCTGACCCTAGAAGAGCCATGACTGCTTAGACTTGGGAGATCCTGGAACGTCACTGTATTTTCCCTGTCAGTGGCTGAGTTACACCAGCTGGCATTTGGTCACACCTTTGAGTTGTTCTCCTTCAAGAAACAGCCTTATTCTTTCCACCCAGGCTGCAAGTTCCTCAATGGAGGACCCAGAGCACATGCTCGTCACCTGGCAGGTGTATGCCTGTCAAAGCATCATACTGATCAGCATGACATGAAGGTCTTGACGATTAACCTGACCTCCCCCTCTACCCTCCCTGGCAGAGACCTCACCCCTGAGGACCAGATCGTGCTGCTGAAGTCGAGTGCCATTGAGGTCATCATGCTGCGCTCCAACCAGTCCTTCACCCTGGACGACATGTCTTGGACCTGTGGCAGCCCGGACTACAAGTACCAAGTCAGCGATGTGACCAGAGGTGTGGCTGGGTTCTGCCTCCACCTGCCTAGGCTCCACCTGTCCTGGGGCCATGTGCCCCACCAGGCACTTCAGAGGGAGGGAGGTAGCAACTGGGAGAGAAGGGTGAGGGTCAGGCCAGAGGGTGGGTGGAGTGGAGTGGAGTGGATGGCCCCTGCGGGTGCCCACAGCAACCAGCCAGTCATTCTCTCTTGCAGCCGGACACAGCCTGGAGCTCATCGAGCCCCTCATCAAGTTCCAGGTGGGGCTGAAGAAGCTGAATTTGCATGAAGAGGAACATGTCCTGCTCATGGCCATCTGCATTGTCTCTCCAGGTACCTAGAAGCATGGGGGTGGGGGGCATGAAGGGTGAGCCCCTCTAGGGCCAGCAGAGAAGTTTGGGGGGAGAAGTGAGCAAAAGGAGAGACCGACCAGGAAAGACTCACTTTGCTGTGTTTGCACAGCCCGCGTGGTATGGGTTTGTTGAGGGTTCCCTCACTGCCCTTGAGCTAGTGAGACCATTGCTGGCTCATGGGTGGGATTCTGAAGAACCAGACTCAGGCTCTGCTCTTGTGTGAACTGGATTGACCTCAGCTGACACTTGAGGAGCCCTGGGAACAGGTCACAAAACCCTGGGGCCTGACAGGTGGCTCTACTGGCCTGATAGTTTAGCTGACAGATGCTGGAGGCAGAGTGCTGTGACCCTCAAGCTCTCCTGCCTGTTTGGGGTGGGAAGAGGAAGAGAGGTCGAGAAGGAGATCTCGCGGTCCTGAGGATGCTGGATGGCTGGTGAGGTTCCACCTAGACAGTGTTCAGGGGACAAGCCGGTGGCCTCTGTAAAGGGACGCTTTCCTGGGCAGGCACCCAAGGAGAGGACATGGGCGCCCCTCCTGCCGCCCAGCGAGCATTCACTCATTCATTCGTCGACTCAGCACTGATCTGTCAGGCTTCTGTCAAGCACCGGGCACTGTGCCTGGCACAGGGACTCAGCAGCAAACAGGACACAGATCCCCCCCATCAACTGTAGGAGGAGACATTAAACACATGCAATTTAACAACTAACTCCTAGTGTGATGAGAGTTTTAAAAATAAAGTAAATGATGCTACAGAGGGTAGAGCGGAAAATGGGATCCTGATGTCATCTGGAAGTAAGGGCTCATCGGGAATGACCTTTACGCTGAGGTCAGGTCCTTTACGCTGTTACCTGAAGGATCAGTAAGAGGCAGGCAAAAGTAAAGGCGTTGCCTTCCTGGTAAAGGGAACACAGATGTGAAGCCTGGAGGTCAGAGCCTGGGATCGGGATCCTGATGAAAGATGGGAGAATAGAGACCCAGAGACAAGGTGGGGACAGGTTGAGATGACCCAGGTGGACCTGAGACTTGATCCTCAAGGCAATGGGAAGTGGCCAAGGGGTTGGGGAGGCCTGGTGTCACAGGTCAGCAGCCGTCCGGGAGTGACCAAGGAAGATGCTGGGGGGTGTGTCTGAGGGGTGGGGGCTGGGCAGTAAGGGACCCGACTCAGAGCTGCCCCCACCCCCCCGCCTCTCTGCCCACAGACCGCCCTGGAGTGCAGGATGCTGCGCTGGTCGAGGCCATCCAGGACCGCCTGTCCAACACGCTGCAGACCTACATCCGCTGCCGCCACCCGCCCCCAGGCAGCCACCTGCTCTATGCCAAGATGATCCAGAAGCTGGCGGACCTGCGCAGCCTGAATGAGGAGCATTCCAAGCAGTACCGCTGCCTCTCCTTCCAGCCCGAGTGCAGCATGAAGCTCACGCCCCTCCTGCTCGAGGTGTTTGGCAACGAGATCTCCTGACTCTGGCGGCCTGCGCTGGTGCCTGGGAGGGGCGGCCTCTCCAGGGCCGGGCACCCAGGCCTGGGGCTGGCGGCTGCCCAGCAGCCCTTTCCACCCCTGCTGGGGCTCAGCCCCTCCGCTCCTGCCTCCCCTCCCCGGCTGGCCCATCCTCTCTCCTGCCCCGTCTAACACCAGGTCCCCCTCACCTGCAGGCCACAGGCTGCCCCCCGCCACCCCACCCTTCCTTCCCTCAAGGCTTCAGTCATGAGGATTTTCCATTTATTTGACAAAGGAACTCAAGTGGGGGCAGAGGGCAGAGGCTGAAGGTGGGCCCTTGCCCGGGGATGCTCCCGCCACTCCGGAAGTGGCTGCTGGCTGGTGCCGAGGGAACAGGCAGGAGGGAGAGACAGAGCCATTCCTCAGGGACAGAGACACCCGTACCTCCACTGCACTCCAGGCCCACCCATCCAGATCTGCTGGACCACCCTCCCTCCGCCCACCCACGATACTGACTCACAACCCCCTCCTCGTTCTGCTGCCTGTCCGTGCCGTCTGCCCCTGGGTGGCGTGCCGCGATGGGCCCTCCTCCTCTGCCTTCTTACCCTGCCCTCCTAGGACACTCGCTGCCAAGGAAGCCCCAAAACCAAGGTGACCAAGGTCACAACCCCCACCCTCCTTCACACGCTGCCGGCCAAAGGGTGCTTGCCTAACGCTGTAGGGCCCACCTTCATCCTGTCACCATGGTAACACTCTCCCCGGTAGTATCTCTGATAGGATGGGCTTTCTCCCCAGGGTAGGGGCCACTGGCCCAGAACCGAAGTGCTGAGAGGCCAAGCAGGGAAGCGAGCAGGGCCTGGGTGATGCGGGGACAGGCAAATGCAGCCTGGTAGAGGAGTAGCAGACACAGGCCCCACCCATCCTGCCACCGAGCCCACGGCTCCTCAGCCTGGATCTCAGGGGCTGGCGGGGCGGGAGCTCTTCTCCCTCCCACAGTCCATGTGGCAGGACTGAACGACCCCCAGGCTTCAGAGGATTGTGAAGCCTCCTCATCCTCATTCAAACCCTGCGGGTCCCTACAACCCACCCCAGACAGACGACCGGCCACAGGCTCCAGAGCCCTTGCACAGCAGCTGTGGGGCTGGACAGGGGCTCACCCTGGGGTGGATGGCCAAGGGTGGTGACCCAGAGATCGGTCTACCGTCCCCGCCCCCAGCAGTCTGGAGAAGCCACTTACCATCAGGGCCTCATCTTTCCTTCCTGGCAGGATGGGATAAAGTGTGAAAGTGTCAGTCACTCAGTAGCGTCCGACTCTTTGCGACCCCATGAACTGTAGCCCGTCAGGTTCCTCTGTCCATGGGAGGGTTGGATGAGGGAGAGGAATTTCCATGGGAGGGTGGGATGAGGAAGAGGAATTTCCAGATATCAACAGCCCCAGCCCGCCCTGGCTGCCTGGGTCTGCTTCCAGCACCACTCCATCATCTCACGTGTGGGTGGGGGGCAGCGGGTCTGCGAGAGCACTTCCAGTGGAGTTGGGTGAGGCTAGTTCCTCCTTGTTCCCACCCCGCCCACTAATGTCAGAAAGGGCCAGTGAGGCAGGTGGGGTGGGAGCACCAAACTTCAAAGTCAGTGTTCTTCCCATATCCAGAGCTGACATCTGATAGATGGAAGTTGTCTATAGAATCAGACGCCTTTGGGACCACATCCTGATAGAGTGGATAGTAGGCACCACTCATGAAGAGATGCTTATGGGAGATGTGGACTTACATTGGGGAAGTTCTGCACACTGTTGTTGTTATTTTACGAATTAAGGAGAGACCCTTGGGATCTGATTGCAGAAAAGTCTTGAAAATCGCTAACCCAGTTCAGCCCTCTTGTTAGAGAAAGCTGATGCTGAGGAGAAGGTGTGACTCACCCAAGTTGGGTGGCTAGTTGGGAGCAGCCCCAGGTCTGGTCCTGGACGTTGGCCATGGGGCCCGTGCTGTTTTTCCTACACTGCGCTAGAGCTCAGACCTCACATCCCATTCCCCGGCGGCCATCCTGCCCCTCGGGGGAAGCCCTGGGTTTTCGACGGAGCAAGTCCAGAGCCCTGCTTCTCTTTCCTGGGCTGTCAGCCCACTGACCCCTCAGGACCAGGAAAAGGGGCGCCTCAGCCTGCGTCTCAGTGTGACTCCCACCCCACCCCAGTGTGGCCCTGGTCGGGCGGGGTCTCTGTCTCAGCTTGGTTTAATGCTGCTGCCTTATCAATAAAGCGAATTTGTCTTTGTACTATCTTCACCCTCCCAGTGCTCCGCAGCCCTGCCTCCCCCAGGGAACACGGCAGGACACAGTGAGGACGCTGTTCCTCAGCCTTGGCGCCCCTGACAACCCCATGCAGTCCCCAATACAGTCTAGCAGCTGGAAGGGAGAGAAAAGTGAGGTTTCCTCGAATGAAAGAAAATGTTGTCATCTCTCTGTTTTAGAATGAGAGCGTGTGAAGGCAGACAGTCTTAAATCTCAACCTTTTAAAGTATAGAATTGGAAGTCCAGAAGTGTTAGTCATTCAGTCATGTCCGATTCTTTGCCATCCCATGGACTGTAGCCCACCAGCCTCCTCTGTCCATGGAATTTTCCAGACAAGAATACTGGAGTGGGTTGCCATTTCCTTCTCCAGGGGAGCTTCCCGACCCAGGGATTGAACCCACATTTCCTACATTGCGGGCAAGTTATTTACCATCTGAGCCACCAGGGAAGCCAGGAAAGTGTACACCAAAATGCCAAATAAACAAGATGCTGGGAAATAGGAAAAGCCTTCTCTGGCTGACTGGAAGAAGTAGGAGAATCTGAATGAGGTCAACAGGGAAGCTTGGAATGTGCAGCAGATCTGGTTAAATTTGGGGAAAAAAAAAAAAACAGCAAAGAGGGCTTTGAAGAATGAATGGCTCCTGGTGATTTCCAAAGAGAAAAAACATTTGCCAAAAATTTGTCAAATAAAACCAATGAAGAAAGCTTCCCATATGGTAATAAAGATGGCGGATACTCACATAGCACTTACTTTATGGCAAGTACTGCTGTAAATAAATGCTTTATGCAAACCAGCTTGCTTTATCCTTTTAAGGACCCTTTGGGGAAATGAGCAACTACTACACTCATTTCACAGAGTGGATAACTTGCCCAAAGCGGCACTGGTGGTAAGTGAGAGATGGGGTTTGACCCTTGGCAGCTGGCTCCAGAAGCTGTTAATTACCTGCTACACTACACTGATTCCTGCTGAGCTGAAGGGGCTGACAAAGGACAGCTAGTCATGCCAGCTTTCTACAAAAGGGGGTGTAAGGGAGGTTCCCATTCCTAACGTAGACCTTGGGAAAGAGAAATTGGAGGTGCTGGATCCAACAGGGCTCTACTCTCAGGAAGCATTCAGCAGCATGTGTTGTGTCCATTTCTGTGTGGCCCTTACCTAAAACCTCCAGAATAGAAACCAGGCACCTGTTGATCAAACTGTGCCTGTATTTGACATGACTTGGCAAACTGCAAATGACTCTTGTGTATATACAGGACTTCAAAAGACCCTGAGGAGCCAATGCACCCCCTCCATTTCCAAAAAAAAGTGGGGTTTATGATAAAGGGTGGGGCTTCGCAAGTGACTCTAGTGGTAAAGAGCCACCCCGCTGCCCCCCGCCAAAGCAGGAGACCTAAGAGTCACTGGTTTGATCCCTGGGCCAGGAAGATCCCCTGGAGAGGAGGGAATGGTAACCTACTCCAGTATTCTTGCCTGGAGAATCCCAGGGACAGAGGAGCCTGGTGGGCTATGGTCCATGGGGTCACAAAGAGTCAGACACGACTGAAGCGACTTAGCACAGCACACATAATAAAGAGCAGCTTTGCTAAACACACAAGCACAAATAATTAGCAAAAGACACAGAATGGTCATCTCAGGGGAAACCATGCAGGAAAAACATAACCAATGTATTTATTTAGGATAAGTTGGTCGGAGAACCTCTGGATGTGATTTAATTTTTCAGGAGCATCTGAAAAGATTTCAAATCAAATGTGTCAGTGGGGGATGGGATGGGAGAAGAATTGGGGATGGGGCTTGAGGGCTGTTTTGTCAAGAAAAGTGAATGAGTTTAGAGAAATACGATCCCAGGGTACATCTCTGGCAGGAGAAATGTGAAGACAAGTCCCCAGAAACTGTTAGGAGGCTCTTATTTAGCATTTTTATAGATGATCCAGAGGAACACAAAATCTCCAACGCTTTGTGCTACAATCAACTTTTCCAGGTAAACAGAGAGGAATGCATCCAGTTAGGAGAAAGTGATTTTTAGTTTTCATATTCCAGGCCTTGGGTCCACATCTGTGTTGTTCAATAAGGTAGTTGCATGTGACTATTTAAATTAAAATTCATTAAAATTAAATGAAAGTAAACATTTAGCTCTTCAGCTGCACTCACCATTCTTAGTGCCCAGTAACCTCGGGCCTATGGGAACGGACAGACCATTTCCGTCTTTGCAGGAAGTTCTGTTGGACAGGGTTGGTCCACACAGTGCATCCTGTTCATAGATGGTACGTTTCTGTCCATCTGTTGGTCAGATGGCCACTGAGTATTTGACAGCATATGAGGTGTCACATGCTTCCCTGGTGGCTAAGTGGTAAAGAATCTGCCTGCGATGGAGGAGACATGGGTTCAGTCCCCAGGTGAGGAATATACTCCCTGGTGAAGGGAATGGCAGCCCACTCCAGTATCCTTGCCTGGAAAATCCCATGGACAGAGGGCTACAGTCAATGGCATCACAAGAGTTGGACACAACTTAGCTACTAAACCACCACCACCAGAGGCTACTTAGAGAACAGCCCCTCTTTACACCAAGCAGCATTGTAATGGGACTGCTGTGAACACATCCACTCCTCAGAAGAAATGTAAGTGAGAAACATCTCACAGATCACAAAGCTGATAGGCTCGTAGCTTCATGTGGCATAAATAGGTCAGCATAAATAGGCATAAATAGGTCAGATCAGGGTCTCTGGCTGCTAGTGAGGCTCCCTTGAGGCTGTCTTTGCACCTAGGATCTGTCTATCTGCTTGCCCCGTGGCCCTGCAGGGGATAAGGGTGATGCGTGACATCCCAGTGTGACCACGGGAATGCCTCTTCATGCCAACTGGCACTCACTGTAGGCATGATGTCTGCAAGGCTCCTGGAGGGGAGTGTGTGCTCCAGCTGGCCAGAAAGCGTAGCAGGATGTGGAGCAGAGACTGGAGGTAGTGATGGGGGTGGTCACTGGTCCAGACAGCTGCTTAGAATCTATGCACTGAGTCACCCCGTATGTGATATAGGAGATGGTGCTGCTGCGCATTGGGTTCTGGGGAAGCCAGCTCTGAAATGTAGATGGAAGTGCAGGGAGCTCAAGGGGAGTGGTCACAAGGTCATCATTGTGGGCGGCAGGGAAGAAAGTGGGATCGGGTGGAGGGAGAAATTGGGCTGCGGGGAAGTCTCAACAGAGGACTCAACCAGCCCTTACGGGGGCTTTGAGAAACTGGGATGGCCCTTTAGATTGCCCCAAGCTGAGATAGGAAGCTGGCTTTTACATTCTTGATCATTGGATGCAGGCTTCCCCCCCAGAAAAGAGTGGGAAGTTCATATGTCCCTCTTTTCAGCCAAGACTAAGTAAGGATTG